TCGAGCCGAAATAGGGGGTTTGGGCCAGTGCCGAGAAATGATTGCAGGCACAAGGCCAGAAATGATTGCAAGGGGGAGGGTTTAGGGTGGAAATGATTGCAAGGGGGGGTTTAATTTTCGAGGGGTAGTTGCTGGGGACCAAATTTTGTGACGCAGGTGGAAAACGTCGCGAAAAAAAAGGAAAAAAAACACACACACACACACTGCTATTCGCTTTGCCGCCATGCTGGAATTGGACATACACAGTGTTGCATACATGCCTAGAGCAAAAAAATTACGTCGTCTGGTGGGGGTTATGTGCACGCAGAATGGGGGCCAGCGCGCTACACGCACCGGCCTCGCGCATTACCGTTCCAGATGCAGAAAAAGCGGCGGGCATATCCACAACCAAAAACGTTTGGAGAAAAAGTGCCCACCCCGTGCCCATTGGCGGGCAAACAAAGGTTTTTCCCTTTTTAGCCCCACTTACCTTGTTCAAAACAAAAAGCGTCGGCGTTGGGAAGAAGCCCGCGGCCATTCGCCCCACCTGCCCCGCCTGCCCCTTCTGGCCCCCCTGCTTGCGCCACGTTACCCATTTGACCCGCTTGCCCCGTTCCACTTGCCCCGCTCCACGAGCCACATTTGCTTTCTTGAACCACCCCACCTTTGACCCACGTGGCCTTGTTTGTCTGACTTGCCCCATTTGCCCTACGGAACATAAAGTTCTCGCGGCCCCAACGCATTTGCAGGTGGAGGCCAAATCCAAACCACTTGAACGGCCAATCAAAATCCATGATCGTTGCGGCAACCCGTGGCCCAGCTTCAGGGCCAGGCGCTCACGCGAGGTGACTGGCTGAGGGCGGCGCCTCCACGGAGTCGGCTCACAGGTCGCTGATCAGCGGTGAGTCGCAGTCAACATTGGCTGCGGATTGCACAGCACGCCGGGGACCGACCCTCCGCATACCCTGCTCCTGTCTCCGGTGCCTCGAGGAAGGCGCTGGCGGCAGAAGAAGGCGCCGCACGAACCCTGACAAGGGCAGGCCGAGCAGACTGGACAGGACGGCACGGTCGGCTGCACACGAACGTGGCAGTGACGGAGGCGCAATGCGCGCCTTGCACTGGGCGAGGGGGCGGGAAAGGTTGCGGCCTCAGGGTTCCAGCGGCCTACACACTCAACGCCGAAGACAACGAGCTGGCACCAATCCGGCACGGGCGAGAATACCACAACTCCGGTACGTGCGTATTTTGGCTTGGCGGGCAGGACGGGGTGCGGCCCCGGCACAATCGCGAGCGTGACTCTGCGGGGCACAAAGGGGGACAAAGGCGTTGTGTCAACTGCTAATCGAGCGCCGCCCCATAGCGGCTTTCGTCCAGCTGCACGACGACGTCCAGCCCCCCGCAACTAAGAACCCACATCGGCAAACACAGTATTGAACAGCAACCGCAACCGTTCCAGGACACATGTTGG